AGGCGATACTGCCGAAACGTCAGCTAGCGTTGTATTGTATTGTGTTTTTTATGGAAGTAAATGTATGCTGTTTAAAAACCTCGCGATTGCTGAACAAGAAAACGACACATTCTCATTTGTGTGAATTACATTCCGCATCAACTGGACATTGTGCAGTTGAGGGACTCCTTTAAAAGGGCCATCAACTGCTGTACCATGAAGACATACATGTTTATTACTCCTTCGTGCTGCACAAGAAGCTCGCTAATGGCTTGCACAGCGGAGTCATTCGATACATTTATATAAAGAACGTCAACGTCGAAGGATTCCATCACGCACGCATTATTAGGGCACGTGCTACCTAGACGACTCAGGGACATCTGGGTGTTTGCAAGATGGGTTGGAATGTGCTTTAAAAATTGGGCAAGGATTAAGGTTAAAAGCAATGTTATCCTATCCATTGCTTTGTCTTCACAGCTAATGAGAGTTTTAGCCAAGAATAACGATGGTCGATGTTAGATCAGCAGCGTATACTAGTTTACGGGTTGTGAAAAGTAAGTAGAAACTGACATCTTCGCATAGGAGACAAAAGCTTTAGGGTGTAAAACCCTCGAAGAATTTTGGATAAATTCCAAGAGTGCAGAAATTACCAGCGGAGAGGAATGCAACGCTATCACGCATGATCTCAGAGAGAACGTAGAACTGGTATTTTAATGTGAGAGGCACATCATACTTCCAGATAAACTCTGTGCGGCTGGTCTCCGCGTGAAACACTCAGTGGAAGACAATCTTAACCCTTTTATTTACTGCCTTTTTCTTTTTAATGGCAGGGCATGCTGCGAAATATAACTCGTATATAATGCTGAGATATTTGCAAAACTCCGGACCGCAGGTGCATGCGGTGGAGAACGAACGCGCTATTGTCCTTTCCGGGGAGTAACGCGTCCACCACCATACCATACTATCCTTCGTTTCGCCTGTCTCTCAGCTAGTTCTATAGATCTTTTGCAAAAAGGACAATAGCGCGTTCGCTCTCCACCACAGACACCTGCGGTCCGGAGTTTTGCAAATATCTCAGCACCTTTGAAGTTATTGATCAAATAGTTATCTATATTTTTGTTGAGCGAACGCGAGATGTTATTTTATTCATTACTCCGTTAAAGCTGACATTTCGGCAGTATTGCCTCTTTCAGAGCCTGAAAGGGCACGCTGACATGCAATCAAGTATGCCAAACGAATGAATACGCAGATAGAAAGATGAAAATCTGAATGGTAATTGCATGACCGACAGCCTTCCGAAAATTCTACCATTTTGCGTGCCTTCCATTGAGGAGCAACCGCTCCGCTGATTAGAGTCGCATATGGTTGCCGACTTCATCGCACCACAAATGTATGATGTATAACAACGTCGCGATTGCTGAGAAAGAAAACGACGCATTCGCAATCCAATGCTTAGGTTACTAGAAAGTCAATCCTGGGAACAATCGTTTTCCTTTGACATCCATTTCTTCGGTTCAGCGAACATCTCGTTCCGATTGCAACGTACACAAGTGCGTGCGAATCGCATTTCGATGTCCAGTACTTGTTGGCCGTTCTCTGACCGCGTAATTCATGTAGCTCTCCTAGTTTGATGAAGTTCCAGGCGGCGTTTACGTTCGTATGTCGTCCGTCGTTTGTCTAGTTAGGACAGCCTTTTGTCTTAGTGAGAGGACCCCCTTCACTACAAAATATTGTGCTGATAAATGTAGCGACTCCGAAGGCCGACTTTCTCTTAACCTTAGCATTGCTCAGCAAGTCAGCACTTTATTATTGAGCAGACATGAGATTGTCACGAACAAGATTTATTCACTATTGGTTGATGCTTCGGCGGCTTCGCACATTTCGTATCTGTTTGAGAATAAACCACTGACTTATTGAGCAATTCCCAGGACAAAATGAAGTCGGTCTTGCGAATCTATAACGCAGTGATAATCTTTAATCTGCAGTATAATTGGCGAAAAAGAAAAACGAAAAACTTCCAACTTATATGACGGAAAGCTTCCGAAAATCACTGGATGGATACATGTGCAGCCAGGCACCTCCAGAATGCTACGAATGGAGTATAATACATGGCACATGGCTAGAGGAATTGAGCAATATAAGATGACTTGCCGTTACCTCATCTTTTCCAGTCGCGATGTGTTGTGGTGTCAAAGCATCTGCTTATTAAGAATGGGCTCTATTCGCAATATTCATTTTATGTTTTCTTTCTATGTTCACCTCCCAGCCGTTTACCACCTCACCGTGGCTGCGAGGTGTTCCTGGGTGTCGGGCTGCAATGTACTGCGATTATTCCCCTGGCAGGGTCTCCTATGCTGAGAAGCAAACTGGCCTTTCATCAGGAAACCTAGTTAAGATTAAATGAATACCAGGGTCCACCACCGTCTTGGTATCGAGTTAGTCACATGGTGGCAAATCTCTCTCTGATCTACAACGGCCGCGACTGCCCGTGGTGGTGAAGACCTGAGGCAGACTCTGGCCAGGTTAACGTCGGCATTCCAGGGAACTACAATGGCTAAACCAGTAAATCTCCGAAAAATTGGAAATTATGCTGGAGCCCCCACAACCAGTGAGGACGGGCCATTAAAGTACCATGTAAGTAAGTTTCTACGTTAAACAAGACACCTTAGGAGGTGCATGATTCATTCGTTTTCTCACTGCAGCAGCCATAATTGTCGACTTTCACCTCACATAAGTATGGCTTGCCAAAGGTAGTGAGTGAATCCACCCACCACTACCGATATCATTCAAAAATCACATAACTGTGGTGGGAAGCTGTTGATTTGCGTATTCAGTTCAAAGAAACAGAGACAGAGGTAAGGCCTAATAATTTAACAGTGCGTCCAGCGGTTTAACGAGTCCCAGAAAAACAAAAAAAAAACGGCAAAAAGTTGGCAATGAATCAAATGTTTGCATATTTAAATAGACTTGATGAAAACATTCTAGATTGCTAAATTTCTATAGGCTTCTGTAGATGAACCTAAGTCTCCTCTGATAACAAATGTAAGCATTTCTAGATACATCAGTAAATCATCGACTAAGATGATGAGGTGAGAAATTCGCTGTTTGGTCTAAGTGCGAAAAAAAGATGGCAAACGAAAAACAAACAGAGTACACCACTAGGAACACATAGAGTACAAAAACATACGATTGTGATATAAAAGTCACTATTCTCGCAGAGGATGCCAAAACATCAGCACGCAAACACCTTGAGGCTTTCTGAAGAAAGACCAAGAACCCCAAAATGAATAGTAGCGAGGAATGTCTCGAGATCACACGAGATCTCGCTCCGTTCCTTTGCACGGACTTTTGATGCGAGGTGGTGCAGCTATCAACCATATGCGATTCTGATCAGCTGTTCTTCCTCAGTGGAAAGCACATAAAAAACGAAGCGTCTTTCGAGAAGCTGTTAATCGTGTGATTGCCATATATATTTTCATCTTTCTGTTTGCGTTAATGAAGCATTTGATATAGTAAATTGCCTATCAGTATTTTCCTCCAGGTTCTGAAGAAGGCGATGCTGCCGAAACGTCTACTTTAACGGAATAAAGAATGAGGTAGCACCTTGTGTTTTAACAACAGGAAGATCGAGAAGTCATTTTGTTTTCACTGGGATTGAAATCTCGAGATTGTTAAACGTCAGCTATTGTATTCTAATAAATTCTATATTAACAACCTCGTGTCTGCTTATTGAAGAAAAACATTGAATTATCAATTAATGCCGAGGTTAACAGAAAGTCGGTCTTGGGAATTGAAATCTCGGTTTCGTATTTTTCCTGTGTTGGTTATTGAGGTGTTTGACTGAGTAGATTGCAGTCAGCTTGGCCTTTATCGTGTGCTAATCGAGCAATTAGCGAGTTATTTTGCACTCTATCGAACATCTGTGAGGTGTTAATTGTCGTGGTGTGCAACTCTCTTGTTTTTCTTTCCTGGATGAGAAGTAAAATAAATCATCGCCCTACGAAAAATGTATTAGGGAAATTAATAAAAGGGTAGAAGATAAGGCTTTCGGCACTGATCAATCCCTGAGGGATGCGCTATGTATTCGACTTTATTAGACATCGTTGGAGGTGATTGAATGCTATTTGGCCTTTACAATGACTCGCGGTAACCTGCCGATGTATCGAGACAGTGCTGTTCTCCCCACAGAAAGGTCTGGTACCAATCTGCCGAACACGGAGGGTTCGAGCGCATAGTGAGCCTCGGGCACGGGGATCGACCTCGTGTGTATTGCAAGGCCCCCTCCGACCACTGCGCTACACGCGCATTAATTAGGAAATTAATATCGAGTGGAAAAGAAGAATTCCCCAAACTGATATTTTTTAAACTTCAACACCGTTTGTTGTGTTGAGGGAGATCACATGTGAGGCTCTTGATAGAATGTTTATTTTACTCCTTTACCCTTTTTCTCTACTAATGAGCTAAAACTAGAAATCAAGTTTGCGAGCTGGTAATGTAATGGAGATAAGATGCAACATGCAAATGAAAAAAACACTGAATTTGTGTAGATTCTAAAGCAATAAAATGACATTAAAGCCATCATTAAAGGTATTGTATGAGGCAAATGTTAGACGTGTGCTCCAACTACATTCGCAGGTTGAACCTAATACAAGATTCTCGAACCGCAGCCGAATCCTGACGGACCACTAAGTAATCGGTTATTGGGTGACATCGAAATGAATGAAGTGCTGCTACGTTCATGATATGATTCAGCATTTAACGTACAGTGCTATATTGGTAGATTTGTTTATTCTAGATAAATAAAGAATAAGATCTCGACGTTGATTAGTCCTTGTGGGATGTACCATGCATTAAGCCTCATTATGCATCGTTTGGAGGTGATCGAATGCATATCTGTCCTTTCCTGCTATCCTCCCAGACATATCTGGTACCGATTTGTAGAACCAGGAGAGACAGATGGTTTGGTGGGGCATGGACGCGGAGATCGACTCCACGTGTGTGTTGCAGTGCGTCTCCAACCGCTACGCCACACGCGCCCTTTATTCTAGAACTCGAATGTTTTATATTGGCTCTCAGGTGACTTCGCCAATTATTTCTACAAAGGCTCGTTAATTCGTAGGACTCCATTCTACATGTTATGGCAATCCCAGTAACTTGTTTAGATGCTTATTGCGTGTCCGTCATTGAAGAAGTTCTTCCAATAGTTCCCAGGATCGACTTTCTCTTAACCTCAGCATTGGAATATGAATGTGTCGTTTTCTTGTTCAGCAATCGCGAGGTTTTTAAACAGCATACATTTACTTCCATAAAAACACAATACAATACAACGCTAGCTGACGTTTCGGCAGTATCGCCTTCTTCAGAGCCTGGAGGGGTATGCTGATATACAATCTACTAGGCCAAACGCTTCAATAACACTTACACAAAGACGAAAGACTCTTTGGTAATTACACGATCAACAACTTCTCGAAAAACCCACCGCTTTTTCGTGACTTCCAATGAGGAAGTTTAGAACAGCTGATTATAGTCGCATGTGGTTGACGACTGCACCATCCCACATCAAAAATCGATGCGAACGTACGGGATCAGGTCGCGTATGACCTCCGGGCATTCGTCCCTGCTATTCATTGTAGGGATTGTAGGAAGTTCTTCCAATTTGCATTATGGTTCAGCAGCCCCATGAAAATTTCGTTGTTCACAAATGTTGATGTGTCTCATCGAACCGACCATCCACGAAATTCTGACGAGCTCCACTAGACTCTGCCAAGACCTTTACCAAAGGCAGTAGTCGGTTTTTATGGAGCGGAAAAAGCTTTCCATAGAGAAATCTGGTGCCAATTTACCGAACTAGAATCAATGTAATGCTTAGATTGCTCGGCATGTGGTTGAACAAGCGACCATGCATTCATTATTGCATGCCATCTCCAACTCACACGCTTCCAGTGGACTGCCTCGGATGTAACCGTCTGTTCTGAATTAAATCATAGACCACTTCAGAAATAGTTATTCCACTGCGTCGCTCGCAGGGGCGGAAAATACAGTGGTAGTGATGCCAATCAACATGAGCGCGGTGAAAGTTCGATTTCGTTCCAGGCTCACCAAGCCTCTCATCCCCTGGAGCCGAGAAAGTGCTGCCAGACTTGCCGAACAAAAATCACTCTCTGAAACCCAATGGAAGGTGCCGTAGTTCGTCTATCTCAGGATTCCAATCCTTATGCAGCAGCCGAAGCCACGCGTAAGAGTTGGAGTACTTTAGTGGAGGAATGATGCGAGGAAACGAATCGAATGAGAGAAGCGCTGGGACCGGCACAGTAGATGTGAAGGGGGGTTTCATAAAAAGACAAAATTTTTCGCCCACTTTGTTGTTGGTAAAATAAGAGTAGCCGTGTAGATTTCAATTGGAATAGGAAATGGATGACAACTAAACTGCCAAACCAAGAGACTTGGTCGATTCCTGATTGTTCAATGGAACGTTTACTTTGAACAAACGTAAAGAACCTCGAAACAGGATGGAAAATTTTTAGCTGTTTCTCTTAAGAAAGGTTAGAAAGCGCTCTTTTATAGCAATTCGTATTTATCGAGAAGGTCTTTCTATTGGCCCGTAAGCTGCTAGTTTCTAATGATTGGCTTAAAGATTGGAATAATGTCAAAAAAAACTAAGCGCATAATTCCTTAGACTTTAGTGAAAAACTTGTTAGAGGGCGAAAAACTTGTGGTTACCTCCTCCAACAGCCGATTTTCCAGTGCTCAATCATCTAACGCAATCAAATTATCTGCTCTGCAATCACCTAGATGGATTCATTTTTATCTCCATCGTATCAGGTGTCACATATACATAGCCCATTTTGACTTTCTTTATTTTTTACTATTTTTTAGGTAACAAAATGAATAAAAACTAGCATACCGAAATGGGAAGTCCGACCAGTCTTCAGCGCAGCCAGAAAGAAACATACTACGAAGATCAGACAGCACATCTGGAATTTAAATTTGTAGCGGCAAGTTTTCCAAAATGTAAAAAGACAAAACTTCCCTAGCCTTGCCCTGTTTTGAAATAACTAAGCGGGTCGAAGGATATACCAGATGTGTTTGAAAACCTTAGCAAAATGTTTTTCATTGCAAATTTTTAAAGAGTAAAAAAGAAGAAAAAAGGTTGAATTGTGTCTAAAGATTGCATTTTAGTTGCAATGGGAAAGTAAGAAAATATTGAGGAAAAGAAATTCTTACTGACTTTCTATTAAACTCGGTATTGACCAATTACCTCCCGACGGTTTACTGCTTGTTCGTGGCTGCGAGGTGTTCTTGGTTGCCGGGGTTGCGATGTACAGTGAGAGGTTCGTCTCCTGGCAGGGTCTCCCAAGCTGAGGAATCCGGCGTTTTCATCAGAAAACCTTGCTAAGTGTAAACCAATACCAGGATCTATCACCGTCCTTACATCAAACTAGTCCCATGGTGGCAAATCTCCTTCTGATTCACGTGGGCGGCAACTGCCTGTGGAGGTTGGGACATGGGCAGATTACGGCCTGGCTGACCTCGAGATTTCAGGGAGCCACAGTGGCTAAACCAGCAAATCTCTGAAAAAGTGGGGGTTATGCTAGAGCCCGCACAATCAGTGGAGACGGGCCATCCAAGTATCCAAATATCCAACTATGGACCAAATTATGTACTAAAAGGCTTGTGTCTGCTCCGAAAACATTAATCTAAAAAGTTTTGTTTTTTTTACATTACAGTGCAACATTTCATCAGACAGTTCCGTTCTTAATTATCACCTTTGTTCTTCCTTTCCATTCTTTTTTTCTTTTTTTCGTAAATGAATAAATGCTGTAATACATCAAGAAAACAGTGAATTATCGATTTTCTTCTACTCCTTTCATATTTTTTAGCCCGTCGAAAAGATGTTCTTGACAAATTGTGAATTCACTGACAGCCGTAGCAGTAGTTTCCATAGCAGATACCGGGATTCGTGCATAAGAGCCTATTGTCGATGAATGTGAAGACGCTGCAAGTGAAGCACTTCTTTGCCTCTTCCGGATTACTCGTCATCAATGTGCCGGTGTCGAACGAGTGCACGGCAGTCATCAAATGCACCAACGCCAAACTATGTTGGACCGCCATAGTTCGCCTGAAACGAAGAATGTTGCAAACGATCGAGGAGGAACTGAAGACTCTGACAAGACGGATTCATTGAAAAACGAAAAGCAAAATGACTGTCGATATGAAAATGTGTCAAGCAGATAAGTCGGCTGTAGCGAGATTTTAACGGAACGAGTCAGAACCACCACTTTGTAAACGAAAAGGTGGAAGTAAAGGAGAAAATTTTATTACACTTTGTTTCTTTCAACTTGCTTAAAACAGTTCCGATAAAAAAGCAAGTTATTCTTGTTCGTGAAAAAGTATTTTTGTTACCGGAAATTTTTGCACAACCCGTAGTTCCTGCAAATGTAACTTTCAGACGGAAAACTTCTACAAGATAGAAAAAAGCATGCTGCTGACTACCACGCTAAACGAAGCGGAAAACAAAAATTGTTAGACCCGAATGGTGTGGTGGTGAGGTGCGCTACTCCCCGGAAGGGACAATAGCGCGTTTGTTCCCCACCGCATACACCTGCGGTCCGGAGTTTTGCAAATAACTCAGCATTATATACGAGTTATATTTCGCAACATACCCTGCTATTAAAAAAGAAAAAGGCAGTAGATAAAAGGGTTAGGTTAGGACAAATTGTTATGTTAAAAGCCTGAAGCAAAAGATAGTTGATACTTGAAACTTGAACACCCCAACCTCACTGGTTGTTCGCGCCACAGCATAATCGCCACTTTTCGAAGATTTGCTGGTTAAGCCATTGTGGTTCCATAAAACCTCGAGGTCAGTCTGGCCAAATTCTGTCCCATCTCTTCACCACCACAGGCAGTCGCAGCCCTTGTGGATCAGAGGGAGATTTGCCACCTTGCGTTTTTGACACCAGAACGGTGGTGGACCCTGATATTGGTTTACTCCTTGCTAAGCTTCTTGATGGAATAAATCGCCGGACTCCTTCTCAGCTTGGGAGACCTTACAGAGAACGAATCCCTCCGCTGTACATCGCAGTCCGACACGCAGGAACATCTCACAGCCACGATGAGGCGGTAAGCCGTTGCGAGAGAAATGAAAAGTGTAGAAATTATTAACGGTTAAAAAATTTAATTGTTCAATCAGCGGTATGTCGATTTCAAAGTTAAATATTAAATTCCTGCTGTTTTAAACCTAACTTTCTTGAACGTTGCTTTTCAAAATAGAGGTTGAATACATTGGGAGTGGAGGCAAAGGGAGCTGTGGGCATTTGTTTCAATCTGTAAGTGCATTTACACTCAAGCTAACGTTGGTAGTGCTCATTATGCCCATTTCGCAAATTGTTATTGTTGCTAGTAGATGAAAGTAATTTACTTAAGTTTGCTGATTTAGCACTAATCGAAACGACACGAGCAATTAAAACAAGCGGCTATATGAAGAAGTATTGCTGCTCAACAAAAAGGAACGAGTGAAAGTGACAAGCGCAAGAGTTAAACTACCGGTATAAAATCGTCCGAACACAGAAGATAATATCACTGATCATCCTCCGTCTACTGAGCCTTAAAATTTCAAGTTTAGACCCACCAGCAGTTGTATAGACGGGCTCACGGATATAATAAACTCGTTTATAAACCTAATACTCTTCCCATTTCTGAAGCACATCTTAGCCTAACTCCCGAATACCCAATTCTTCTAAGACCATCTATGTAACGCACGTCCTAGCAGAGTGTGCGTTATGGAGTCCTTCGAAGTTACCATTCTTTATACAAACGTGTCGAATCAGCCCGCTATGCAAACCATTCTAGAACTCTTTGTGAAACACAAACGAGCAATAGATATGTATGGGGTTTCTGATTTAGTAGTTGACGACCCTTTTAAAGGAGTGTGTAAACTGGCGTAGAAAGTATTAGGCACAAATGAGAGCGTTAGCAATTTGAGAGCCATAGATACCGAGCCATGCCACTGAGCTCCTATATAAGGTTAAAGCCCTCTTTACTTTGTTCCCAATTATTACTCTGTTGTAGGTATATCCAGGAGTGTTTTCTCATCTGCTTAATACAATCAGGATATACAAATTTTGTCCAGGAAAAACAAAAGAATGAACAACTTCGCCTTTTTTTCATACTCTATCCAAAGACACAAGCAATCTATCTAAAAATGGCTAGATTCCCATATTTTACAAAAAGAGAAGTAAGACCGGCATGTGGGTTCATTATCTCCCTCCTCATCCCTCACACACGCAAAGGGCGCTTCTAACATGTTTTCAACAGCTAATAGTATGTGCGCAAGCAAAGAGCGGAAGGAAAATTCCTTGAAATTGGCATGGCAAGTAGCCGTTTCCAGTGACTGCGAAATAGTAGCTCTTTGGGATTTTCTGGATGAGAACGGGTCATGCGAATAAGTGAAAATGAAGTTAAAAATACACAGAATTTGTGATACTTACGCAAACTCAGACTACCAGCTTGCCGGTCGTTCTCATGGGCAAATGTGTGTTCACTGCAAGATGATCTTATAGGTGGAAATGTGGAACTCACTGTCAACTTGGGTGACACTTCTGGAGTGGTGAACTCTTGGTGTGCATTGCACTTCGAAACCGACGTTCTCCACAGAAGGCGCAATAGAAGTGGAAAGAAAGTATTATTTATAAAGTAGAAGAGTATCATTTCCCACTGTTGTCAATCGTGCGTTAAAAAACGTGACATAAAGAATAAAGCATGGATAAAACACTGCAAAAAATCTATATATGTATATATACAATATGTAATCAGTGAAACAAACAAAATATGAATCAGCAATATAAAAAGGTTTTAATGCAAAGACGTTAGAGAATTGTGAATTAGTGGCCTTCGTTAGAACATGCGGCAGTCATTGAACTCATACGGAACACACTATTAAACCAAAGGTAGAGTTTCAACCACAAAGACGACCAAATTTCACTGAAAGAAAACGTGTAGATGCTGTTGGTGAACGAACCGTTGCACATTTTCCGCTGTAAGCATGTAGTGCAGTGGGAAGATTTGCACATGGTCATAGGTGCGATCCAACGTACTAAGACAAGTCGGTTCGCTGTCCTTCTCAGGTCGGAAAGGTCTACTCTACCTCACTTTATTTGTTAGTTATAATAAAAAATTCTGTTAGACAAGTGATAGCACACAATGCTGTTAACAATTTCAGGAACAAATATGCTTTAGAAGGAATAATATTACAAATAAATCGTATTACAAAAACGAGAGAAAGAACTCGAAGTTTTGGTCAGCCGGGAAAGGTTGAAGACACCGTGCGTAACAAAATGTCGCAAATTGAGTGTTCCGAATATATTATGCTTCCTAACGGCATGTTTTGACGATTCCGACAGATTCTGTCAGCTACTCGAACCTAGCAATATGTCAAGGAAGCGCATGATGCTATCCCCATCAGCTTGTTGGCCAGAATATTCATAAATACCTTAAACGAATAACCTGATATTCTTCTCTTCTTCGATTGAGAAGAACTTAGTGGGAAACACTAGCTTGCATGCGACTAAAATATTACGTGGTGCATATTGGTGTACACTCGAGTCGCTTCACCCTAAGGGGCGGAGGTGGTGATAACATAAGTACGGGCGGTAATGACACAGCTGACAAAAAAGAAATGGAAGAACTCAGAGGCAATAAAGGAGCGAATAGTAAAAATAGTCAAGGGTAAGAAAAATGTGAAATGTTCTGCACCAATCTTTAGTTTTCCAGGAAATCCTTGTAGCATTCTGAAAACCGAATGGAGAACTTGATTTAGCTGTGAACGTGGTAGAACAAATAACTACGTGTGTATTGAAAAAACTTTCAGTCACTGCGCTATAAGCGCTCCAGAAATAAAAATAAAGTAATCGAATGTAAGTTTCCATCAAAAATAGTATTCTGTCAGTGCTTGATTTCCAAAGTGTATTCTGAGTAGTACTCAAACAAGAATTTGATGGCTTATGCTGGATTTACTTGCGACAAAAGGCTTATAAGATTTTTTCGTCTTCTGGATGAAGCATCGAACTGAGGTATTGATTACGATATTACAGAGATCAGAATAAAGCGCTAGTGAGGCTTGGTGTGTCAAAAAATCTCGAAGAAATCCCTGGATGAAAGGAGATGTTCAGTATGAATGAACACGAGGAGAAAAGTGCCTACCCGACGAAGCTCGTGCCTCGTCTTCTGTTATAAATTCTTTTGCTGATGAAGGCGGCCCTTGGTATTCGTTAACTAATATTTTAGTACTTGTGGTGACAACTAGTAGCGAACAACAATATCACAAGAACTAAAGAGGCAGACTCTCATTTAACGTCGACATGAACAATCAATATTTCGTCGTGTTCAAGCTTAAAGAAAGCTGTTATTAAAATTACTAATTGCCTAACGTCTGAGCCAATCCACTTTGTTAGGAGGCGGAATTGTTCGCGTCGAGTGTCATGAGTCATGGACATAACAAAATAAAGAAAATGTAGCAAAAAAGCAGGTGAGGTTTTATTTTGTATAAAAAAATCACTTTTACAATATTTTTTCCACCCTTCGTATTTAGCCTTTTTCTACGGAGCACGTTGAAAAATTTCATTAGCAAGAGGTTGATTTCAAAATTATTGAAGTTCCACTCATAGAATCTTCTTTCTACGGAAAGTATAAGAATAAGCAACCACACTTTTTTAGCTTCTCCTTTCTGTAGGGTTTCCACGGTTGGAGCAAAGATCGACGGCAGCAGACGATGCTTTTTTTTTATTACTTTACAGCTAAAAAACCGAACGAAAATGTATTTCAGTGTTCTGTTTCTGAAAAAAAAACCAGTCAGTTGGCCAGTATGAGAGATCTGAAGTTGATTACGAGCACTTTGTGCTCTGTTAAGGAGCTGGACAGACGAAACCGTGTTGTCAAAATTCCCGGGGGAACTTCCGTTTACGAGCTACGCCTCATGATTGCGAAGATTTCGTGTGATGTTGTTCTCATTCAGCATGTAACCTTGTTTACCATCGACAAAGATCCAGCAAATCCAATTCCAATGCACGCCTTATTGAATTTCATCGAGTCCTTCTAGGGAAGTGTTTAGCTTGGTT